AGCAGCTGCTCGGCCGCTTCGGAGGGGGAGGGGGAGGAGGAAAAGGCAAAGGAGGTGGAGGTGGAGGTGGCGGCGGACACGGAGGAGGTGGAGGTGGCGGCGGAGGTTGGTGATCACTGCTTGCCTTGATATGCGTCATGGATTCGTCGGTTCCGTTCTGCTATCACCTCACGCACATTCTGTCTGCGGAATCTTCGCCGGTGTTGTCAGTGTTATGTGTGTTGTCCTCTTGCATCGTTTGTGCTCATAGACTGTACGGATGCGTGCCTTACGTTAACGGATCGCAAATTGAGTAATCGTCTCTGTAAATAAAACTTGCTCGTTGGTACCAGGGAGCGCTTCGCTTCTTTGTTAGGGAACGGTTTCCCTGCTTCCTACGCCATTCCATGGGGCCGGTGGTAGGACGCCGAAAGGGGCTCGGCCTCCTGGACCCGGACGGCTTCTCCACGGATAAGCGTCATCGGGAACGCCTTCCTGAGCGGGACCTTTGCAAGCGATCGGCCTCGCGACGTTCCGATCAGTCATTCTCCGGTGGGTTGCGATTGAAGTCTGCATGCGCGTCTGACCCATGTCGATGTTGGACGATCCAAAGAATCCGGTGGCACCCTGCAGAATCCAGTTTTGCCCCGGACACTACACGTTCAGGATTGGGAGTGCTTCCTTCGAGTCGAGACTGAAACGACCTGAAATATGACTCGAAATCCCCAGCTTTTCTGTCTGCTATTGAGATGAGATGCGCTTTCATGCCATTCATCTTCGATGTCCGACCCCGGCGGTGACTAATGTACACAAGGATCATTCACGTCAGAACACAAAGCTGATTGATATTCTGGTTCGGATTCTATGACGATCAAACTGATTGAGCCGAGTTCTGCCGGGTCGCTCAGCCTCTCATAATTGAGACCCGACTTCCCTCTTCGTTTCGTTCTATTTCGCTGACGTAATGGGTCGGAGCTCACCCCGCTGACTCTCGTCGGAGTCGGCAGCTTCGCCGACGCGTTTGGTACTCGCGTATTGGGTGCCGATCGATCACGCGTCTCATCAATTTCGAGTAACAACAAACGAGAAAAGTAAGAAGTGAAGGAGGGGGAGGCCGATGTATGTATGCGTAGATTACGCCGGATGAGAACAATTCGTGGGAAGTTCGACCGACCGAGACATTTTGACCCTCGGGGTTCCATTTGCTCCTCAATATTTATATTGAGACGGCCTTGCTCGTTCAGCGGCGCCGACAGAGTCCCTGTGTTGTTGGGGGCGTGATGAGAATATATCGTTCAAGATTTGGGGCACTCGATTCAGAAAACCTCCTTCATTCGGAGGAAATGCGACTTATCCGGAGAAACCGAACCTGGATGTCGAGACCAGGGGGCGCAGGACAAGCTGACGGCTTTTGATGGAGAGTCCCCATCGAAGCGTGCCGTACCGAGTTTGATGAGAAGTAGTGTTGGTATACATATCTTCGACCGCCCCCTTCATCGTTTATATGACATTGATGGAGGTGCTCATCCCTTCATCCGTACAAATACAATCAACCGTCGGTTTTCTTTTTCTCTGCCGAGTCTCTAGGAGCCTTATCGTTTTCTTGAGCATCACGGGGTTCGAACTATCGGAGAATCCCAGCATTTCGTTAATCTTGAAGGAAAGATGGAAAGATCCGAGGCGCAAAGATTTCAAGGTTGTGAGTGTCCCCGCGGGAGTCGACTGCGGACCTGAATTTGGCCTAGTCAATCCTTCTGAAGTCGGAATCAACATGCAGAATTCGCAGTTCGCGGAATCACACCGTGAGCGTACTGATAATCTCAACATAACATTCATTGCGGCTGATAGAGCCGCTCCCGCATAACAGCCCTGATGTTGGAAGAGCCATTGTTTGGAGTGAAAAAGGAATCGCACATGGAGTGAATGATAATCGGTTCTTTCTCTATTTCTTCAGCATGCTCGACTAGGGACCCAGAGCGGGAAGACAGAATCGACTGCTCTGCCTCTTGAGAGGCCTTCCTTCGGGGAAGAGACCGGAGAGTATACTCGCGGCGGAAGTGCGACATCTAGCTCGGGCGCAATACGGCTCCTGGGGATATCGCCTATCTCTGACTGAGCGGGCTACTTTTCTATGCGCTCTCCCAAAGGGACCGGTCATGAGATTCCGCGCCAGAGATATCAGTCAAGCTGAGCATATTTCCCTGATACTGTTGTCTCAAGAACGAGAATCCTTGCAATATTTCCTGAGCGACTTTTGATCGACATCTCTCACTCATCAGTGTTCCGTTGAGCGGAGCAGCGCGACTCGTTCGAGACGAGCGGCGGACTCGCATCATTTCGGCCCGCGTCGGAGCGGGTAATTTACGAGTCACGATTCTAGTCGAACTGGAGCCTTTAGTGGAAGCGTAGGGTCTTCCACTAATTCGAAACACCGAATCGAACGAAATCATAACTGAGCGGGATTCGACACCTGACTCACACTCGATCGAGCCGATTATACTTTCTCATCAGGCACCCTCGGATTGCTGGCTGGAAAATTCTGCCTTCTCCCGACTCATCCGACACTCCGGCGCGATCCCTCTGTGCCTACGAGCTGTCGAAATCGCTCTATTCTTCCAAACTCCGCAAGTTGCCCGGCAGGGTGAAGGTCGCGCGCAGTATACTTGATTGGGAACACTTCTAATTTTTCACGATCCGCAGCCCAGTCGATTGACGTCTGACCGATGCGCGACGGATCGCTTTCCAGGGCTCTCGACGAACCATCGCATCGGCTGCGCGCCATGTGTTCCTTATTTCCGCGCATTAGGCACTAAGCGACGGACCGACTAGAATAGCCCGATGCAGGCAACACCATCGAGCATCAGCTTAGCCAACATCAGAGTGGCAAGCATGACAGACACAGAAGGAGTCTGTTCGTTCGTCGTGCTGGCGGTTTATCTGAGGCTTGGCCAGTCAGACTGCTGCAGCTACCGACATTGAAAGGCTCGGTGATTCTGTCCCTCGTGAGACGGGGACCTTGAGAATCGGAGTGCAGATGCAGCTGATCGCGTCATCGTGAGGTTACGACGGAGGGTCTCCGATCGTCGTTGTGGACACCCCGCTCGGTCACCACCAACGGCAGCGACGAAGTCAGAGGTGGGTCGAATTCAGCCCGAAACATCGTGTCAGGTCCCGTTAGGCTTTGTGATTGTTAGTGAAGGATATTCCGAAGAGGGCAGGGGTTGCTCCGCTCTCGACTGCTGTCCGACTCTGACGGTCGAGTCCTTTTTTCCACCGGAGTATCGCAAAGCTGAACGTTGTGATTGTCCCCGTAATCTTCACTGACGTCCTCGCATAAATGTCCAAAATGCGTATTTGTACATTGTCATGTCTGGGAAGCCTCAGCTCTCCCTTCTGCGAATCTCACGGGCTCAACCAGGTTCTGCCTGCGTAGATCGCTATTGCCCGAACGATGGGTTAGAGAGCCCCAGTCCCGGATGACGCCGGTCACCGACCGTGTATTCTGGGGGTTCTGATCGGCTGTCTGCTGGATCATTTGGCCCCTGCTTCCCTTTGCATGATCTCACTCGGATCAGTGACCCTGGCGGAACGAGAGCCAGTCCCCTCCTCAATTCCCGGAAGCGAAACGCCAATTAAGTTATCCTCGGACCGATGGATTCGATTCGAGAAAGACTTATTCTCCTTTCATTACTCACCGTCGTTGAGTCTTAGAGATGACGGTGGTTCCGTTCGACTTTCCTATCGGAAACAACATCCTGATCAGCAGGGGATAATAAGGATCTCCTTCCCCCTTCCGTCGAGAGCGATAATTATAGTCCGTTCTCTGCGGCAACAAGCCTCGGGTGACTCAACACTTAGACTTGGTTCACACGATCCAACCAATGAAAGTTTTTCGAACAATAAGGCAGTAGATTCAACGATATAGCTCGCGGAGACCGTTTCGCGAAGCTCTCGAAAACAAAACTTCCAGAGAGTTCCTGCGAATACGGCGGTGACTAACCGCGAGTGGTGAGGCTTTCTTCATGCACGCCACCTGGACAACAGAATGAAACAAGTGCGCTCTTGATCCGAGAGAGAATTTGCCAAAGGCCCGACGGTCCCCCTCTCGATGCATTTTCTGATAGGTGATCCATTCATCGCCTATTACAGACGATCGCAGCGACCGCTCCTTACGTGTAGCCCGGTGCGATATCCGCCGAAAATTCATTTCTGGAAGCCGAGAATGTCTGCGCAATACCTGAGATTCCCACCGCCGAGGTGGTTCCCGTTTCTAGCGACCGCTTCGTTGTTTCTCACCTGTGCAACTTCGGTGACTTTGGCGTTCCACCTCAAACAAGTTTCAGGTTTGCGTTTACTCAGATAAGGATTTCCCTATGATCTCTTAGATGTTCCGCGGAAGCTCGCGTCGTGTCTCAGAGATCCAATCGATACCCATCGGACGATCGATACATTGGCAAATAATTATAATCTGCCTGTGTTCGCAGGAATCCCGTACATCAGCGATACGATAACGACTCCTCCCGAATCGTGTTATTTCGGTCTCTTCCTCAACATCTACGCGCTGCTGCTCGGAATTTCGATTTGGAATGTCTACACACTTGTAAGCAGTCACTCCATGTGTCACGGAGCAAGCTCAGAACCTAGCGCGATCGCGACAAGCGCTTATAGAATACTCGAGATTTGGCGTATCGGCTCCACCTGAGAAAAAATCAGCGTGGAACCACCGCTTGCGTGGAATGAAGCAATTTCTAATCTGAGGCCTCATCAACGTCGTCCGGAAAAGTGCCTCGACAGAAGTCGTATGCTCGAGATTCATTCACATTTTCCTTTAAGGCCACCGATAAAGAGCCCCTCGAAACGGTTGCTTGCTGCGTCGGACTCACGGCAGCTTTCGGCGTAGCTGTCGTGGCTAATTTTCAAGAGACAGTCGTGTTCCCCGTACACATCCTAGGTGCGCAGCGATTTTTTCCGTCATGGGTCATACGTACTGGTACTTATGGATGAGCGGCGCGACATGGGATCGGATATCCACCGAAAGAGATGACGGCGTTGGAAAGATGCGACAGACTAATAATTTTCATTATGGAAAATTATAGGAAGTTTCAGTTGGAGTGAGGAATCCCGCGAGCTAATTTTTCTCTGCCCCCAGGTGCCATGCTCGCTCTCGGATTCGCGAGCGTTTACATAGGGATGCGGGTGATTCTCAGTCCCTGTTATCGGCATCTGCGAGCTGTTTGCGCAATAGGGTGCGCTGTTTGCTTTGTGGTCTGCTCTGTGACAGGTGGCATTGCTTTCACAAAATTCAAGTAGGTTATCCGTCTCTCATGGGAATATTCTGCTGGCTCATGGCTCCTGATTTCAATCCCGATCCCGCGCGCCTCTACCAGCAGAGTCGGAGCACATTATGTCGAAATCGAGGAATTTCCATCATTCCCGAAAAATATACATATTGCGCGAAATGCGAGCGATGCTAGGATTGGCATGCTCGATCTTCGAAATATGGTCGAGTTTTCGGTCCCGAGCTCAGACGTCTCAGACATCTGGGTGTGTAAGTCATCAGTCTTAAGTTTTCCAATCCTCTAGGGGCAAAAACTTCCGGCATTGGGGCCCGAACGACGGAGGTTTCGAGCTTCACATCGCGTCCGTAGTAGCCGAGTGGGTGCACGTGACGCTTGTCAGCATTTTTGTCCTGACTCTGAGCCGTGAGATTCAACGGGCGGAGGAAGAAAGCCCCTTAATGGCGTCTGGACACACCGACAACGAGACTTTCACACGAGACAGTGCTTGAAGGAGCGAAGGAACAGAGTCGCCCTTCCTGAGTGAGTCGAAGTCAACCGAGATTACAGCCGAGAAGATGTCGAGACAAATCGGTTTCTGGGACGCTCATCCGAATCTCGAATCGTTCTTGGGTCATTTCTAGGAACGAGGAGAGAACGGAGATAGATATGTACCTATTCAATAGATATGTATATCACTCTTCAGCCCACTCAAGCTAAGCACGGTCCCCTGCGAAGCCCCCGCTAGCCCGTGTTCATGATCATTTTTGATTGTCTTCTCTTCCGTGAGATTGGAGAGTTTTCGAGGAGGGTCGTCGTTGGTCGAATGATTCTCCGCAGATGAACTCTAAATTGAGATTGGGGGCGAAAGTACTTTTGTGATAACGACGTTATTCAGCCCAGAGCCCAGACTCAAAGCCTTGCATTCTATGACCACAGGGTAGATAGAGCATGTACACTACTATTAACACTTGATCTGAGGGAGGTCTCGATCTTCAGGAGAACATCTGTGAAATAAAGCGAATATTCCTCCACATTTCGAGGTTTTCCCTTCATTCATTCTCCCGTATGCTCAACAGGGCGTGATGCTCCGAGATGAAAGCATATGATCCCCCCGACGAGGACGCACGGAAGAAAGCTCGACAGCGACGGAACTTCTTTCCCTGGGAGTCTTGGCGCTGCGTCCGCAACTGATTAAATTGAAGTGCTTGATTTCCGGGAATTTCTTTATTTCTACATGACTCGTCGACCGAGCCCTTCCACTGCGTGCTCGAACTCCGAGCTTTCAACATTCCTCTCCCGCTTCCACGGCACTTCTTGGAGAAAGAATCAGAAGCATCATTTTTTCACCGCCTCCCAGGCCTCCGGTGTGTAGGTTTTCTGAGTGAAGGCGTGAATCTGTTCGAGCTCTTCCGCGATCGCGGCATTCACGAGTCGCTGCTGACTGATGAGATTCTTACCTGTGGATACCAAGCTGCCATTTCATACGATGAATTTGGATTTTCACGACACGACCGCTCGAACAAGAATGAAGTTCCAGACCCAATCAAACCGTTCAAAGTGACGGTTACCAAAATAATTTTCCAGGATGACCCCCAGGAATTATCTTCTATCTGAAGCTCACCGACGAATTGGGGAGAGACGATCACAGCGGCGAATTTCTGACCACAGCCATCACTGAGGTCGCTGAGCTCGACATGCGTGCACTGTAGCTTTTCGCGGAGTTTCGCCTCCAGAACTGCCTGAGGAACTCCCATGGTAGCAAGCAATCGATTCTGCGCGAAGTTGAGGGAAACCGGAAAAGCTCTGTCTCTGAAGCACTTTACAGAGTGACGCACGCTTCGGAGCAGCATTTACAAAACTCTCGAATGGAGCTACGGGAGTTGCAATCGGCGAGTGATGGCGAATCGGAATCAGCTGTTCACGAGCGCCATGTTTTGAATACCCTCTCAGGAGGTGGTATAACATATATTTCCTTCCGGGATATCTCCCCACGAGAGCAAACATCTCTTTTTGGTTTCGCGGCGCGCTCGGAGACTCGATAAACTCGATAAACTCCCCCGATCATTTGATTCCGGCTCCAAGCCTGAAAGTTCGCGCAGTCTTGGAGGAGGAGAGTTCTGCAGGCGAGTGAGTTGCGCCCAAACAAACAAACAGGACGACCGCGTGTAGTGATAGCTCCGTTGACGGACGTGGACGGACCTTGTACGCCGAGGCGTTCGAATTCGTCGATGAATTGATTTTAGGCCCGGAAACGGTCCCTTCGGCTCATTTCCAGTGGAGGGGAGTTGCATATCCATGACGACTCCATCATGAGAATAAACCGTAACAAAAGAGCCCAGAAGAATCTTGCCTTCTATCTTCGACACTTCCAGCTGGGAGAGAGACAGAGGTATTTCGTCCTGGTCGATGGAACTTTCTGTCAAGCGGCGCTGAAACATAGAGTCAATATAAAGGTGGGTAGATCTCTTCGGATACATCTCTACTGAGTTGAGGTTCGCGGAGGAGGCAGACGGCATCATCGATGGCAGATTGAATCTATTCATTCGCTAGCTATTCGCAACGAGACATTGCGCGGAAACTCATCCGGAGCCGGAATTTTAGTGAACGCATTTTTTCGCAGGAACAAATCGACAAATACTTTCGATGTGACGTCACTCTGTGTACAACCGCCTGTGCCGTGTTGGAAACTCAGAAGCTGACTATACTACATGGTGCCTTGCAAATTCTGAAGCACTACAAAGTCGAGAAATGTGCTCACAGTAAACCGGTCGCCGCTTCCCAGTGCTTATTAGAGAAAGTTCGAGACGGAAACCCCGGGAACTATTTTGTGGCTACTCAGGACTCCGAACTGGCGGCTGAGGTCCACAAACTGGTCGGTCAGTATTTGTCACTACAATGAAGTTCCCGCTCTTATAATGTCTCCTAATACTTCAGGGGCGGGGGACCCGAATGGACCCCCCTCTGATATCTCACATACAATCCACAGGTGTGCCTCGACTGAAGCTATATAATGCGATCACACTGGAAGATCCTTCCGAAGCCTCAACGCAGCATGTACAGAAAATTAGTCGTGCGGCCACCGACCTCACAGGCGAACAGAGGAAGACGATTGCCCTCCTGAAGAAGAAGATGAACATTGAGGAGACCGGGCCAAAAGTACCTTGAGCATTGCCGACTTTTCTCCATTGAGCGTGAGAATGTCGATCATCTCTCACAAGGATATCTAACCTTTCGACACCGTCTCACAGGTGAAGCGTTTAAAGAAGAAGCTCAAAGGACCGAACCCGTTGTCCTGTCTGCCGAAGAAGAAAAAAGGCATCCATGGGAAGAATGAGGAGCCGGCAAGCACACAATTGAGTCGGGCAGCTCGACGGAAAGCTCGGCTCAAGAAATTGAAAAATATCCTCGAAGTTCCAGGAAATTCGACGTAATAAATGGTAATTGAAGTTTCCCTCCCCGTTGTCCAAGCCGGCCTGTTCAATTCCCCGCTGGCGGCACCATCCCAAACATAATTACCGTTGAAGCTTCGACTTCGACCACTACGTAAATATGTATGTCTCTGCGCGGAAGAATTTAGGCCGTAAGATTTCAGCTGCTCGGTATCGGTGAATGATTCACGAGATCTCATTTTTATTCATAGAGTCTCTGGTATAGGTGTCTCATTCTCATTCACCTCTGACCACAATGGTTCCGAAGATTCAGGCATACAATCGAAAAATAGTCTCCGCAGCCAGAGCTGCGTCGCATCCTGCCGAAAGAGTTTAGGGATTCGATTCTAAAGTTTCGGGGGCTACCGAGCGAATATCTTCTGGTATCGTGGAATATGTCGTATTGTGCGAATAATCGGAGGCTTGAATTCGCGTTCCCGAGCTCTGATACTTATGAAGTACGTTTTTTCATGTATAGCGAAATGAATCGCAACCCGGAATGTTCCACACCTGGGTCCAATGCGAAGAATCATTCAATGAATTTCAGTGGAAAATCGGGTTCGACGGTCGAGCTCTAAATTGGGAAAGGGAGGAAATCCGTTGGGCGGGGCTCGGAAGCCCCCGCCTGGAACACCCTCGTCTTGTCTTGATCCTATGGGTAGATTCTCCGTCGCGGTCACTCATCATGGTATACAATCACATTAGAAACCACACTCTGTATATCAAATTACAATGATAATTAATTGTTGGCGCAAGAGCCCCATCCCGATAGCCTATTATGCGATTTGAAATATATTATATATTATTACTCTTAATATATATGCATAAGGATTTCACAGCGTTCCTAATCCGGAGCAAAGCTTTCGTCATATACTCGGGCGCATGAGTTATGTCACATTGATATATTAGATTTCTTAAGAGTAAAACACCCTGCTTATCCAGAGAGATGCAGGGTTTCGGGTCCCTATCAAGGGTCTGCTCGATCGCTTCGCCCCATGTGTATGGAAGAACTAGAAATTCTCTTCGTCTCGAGAGAAACCCAGGGCTGTGGGAGTCGGTATGTCGCCACCAGACGCGCTCCATCCGATACAGGGCTTTCCAAAGCATCAGGACTTCCGGACCTTTGGGCGCCGACGCGACGCTTTTACGACATCGAGATATCGACTAGATTCTAGAATGCATAGTGTTCCGATAAAGGTCTCTGAGCTGGGAGCTGGTGGCTCCCAAATTATGTTCTCTTCACGGTGATCGTTCCGTTCGAGAGACCGGAGGATGAATGATTTCGCGGTAAGAAGAAGATTCCGGAAAGGGCGACGCATCTTCTGCACAAGATTGCGCGAAGGAAAATGGCACTCAGCGCTGCTTCGAACGCGTCTTGCAACCCGGTTTTCCCTTCGCCGCATGGAGATATCTCGACTCCTTGTTCATCCAGCGGTGCTCACGACTCAAGGCCGTCGGAAGGGATGCCTGAATTGTATAGGCCCAGGAATTTGGCAGCACGCGATCAAACAGATCGAGAATCCGTAGCGAGGATCTTTGTAGGAAGTCATCTCCAAGTTGAACGATCGCTGGCTGACGACTTAGTCAGGGACGAAGCGCAATCTGCCACCCGATGGTGCCGCGGCGTTGTCGTGTGGCAGCTCGGTCCCGGTGACGATGGCGGGACTACGTTGCCGAGATGCGACAGATCCGCCGTACAAGCTCCTTTCATTGTGTGCATAGGGGAGTTCTTGGCGCTTCTGCTGAGCTGTCGGTCTCCGCTAATCAAGGGCGACGACGGCGTCACAATTCCGGAGCGCGCTGCGGTCATTGTCGATGCTGTGCCTTGGCTCTGAGTCGAGTCTTGCGCGTTGTTGATGTAGTCAGCGGTGAGCAAAGTCAACTCTAGCGTTTTTGTTTCGTTGGGAGATGGAAATTCGACTGAACCGTCGATATTCCATCGGTTGTTATCAATATGAAATCGCCTTCGCTACCACCGAACGTGAAAATCTGGGAGTATGGGTAACGAGTGACAATTTGCATCGACGAATAGTCCAGCAGGAAAATTCCGTCTTCGTTAACGGCTATCCAAATTAAGCGGTTGTTGCTGGTGACGAATTGAGCGGGGAATAGCGTTGCGCCACACAGCGCCCAGCGATTGAGACGGATACAATTCAGATATGTGCGGACACAGTCAGTGGTGCTTCGTCCTTTCAGTGCGGCCCATTTCGAGACCAATTGTGGCCAGGTGTCCTCTTCTTTGGCGAACTTGAGCGGAACGAACCGATCGAGAACCTGCCGTTTTGGGTTAGATTTGGTTTCGTCGAACGAGTGCATCCCACGGTCTCCGAACTCGATTTGGGCCATGAGAGCGGCAAACTCGATAGCCATGGCTTTGGTCAGAGGGAATCGACCCTGTACAATTTCTCTGTTGTGGTAGAAAACGGTGAACAGTCTCTCCTTCTCCGTTTCGTTTTTCTGATTCCGCCGGAAGAATAACCGATTCAGATAGGTTAATTTGATCACCCTGTTTAGCTCGAACTTCCCCAGATGCCTCTCCCGCAGTCGCTGCTCCCAGAGAGAGATGACGTCGCAGAGATGATCGCCTTCGCTGAGACTGATCTCTTCCGAAGGATCCATGGGATCGTCCGACATCAAGGCGAAACCAGCGCTCGGTCTGATATTCACTTCCGCGTTGAGCGTGCTGACAAACTCCCCGACGGTGGTCGAGCCGTCGAAACCGACAACTTGATATTTCCCGTCGAGGAAGTGCACGGGCATCGAGTGCGGCTGTGAATGATGGTAGGGGTTCTTCAGCAGCAGAGACATAACTTCCATTCTGGAGGGTTTGCACTTGCGTGGAGGTTGGTCGACGGCTCTCTGCAGGGCTCTGGCACAAAACATTGCCCATTTGCCAACTTCTGTGTTAGGATCTCCGACCCTTTGCAAATGCCGCCGCAAATACCACAGACTCCTCGACCTCGGCGGGAACAGGGATACGGCGATGGACAGCAGTTGGAATCCCTGGATGAAAACGAAGGGCGCCGGGTTCAATTTAGAGTCACCACTCCCGCTACTCGGAGTGCACGATTTTTCCATTGGGGACGGCAAGCTGTCGGACAGTTTCGAGTCCTCTCGCTGGATTCTATCAGACGAGTCGCACATGAAGAGAGAGTGCGTGGCACATAGGAGGAATTGCTGCAAGGGGACGGAGTGTTGCTTTACATCGAGGCGAACGATTTTTCTGCTTGGGATGGCACTGAATGAGTACGAAATCTTCATTATGCGAATGCTCACCTGCATCCCGTGTTTGGGGGTGTGTCGGGAAGTCTGCTTTATGATTTGGTAGAAAAACTCATTTCGCAGAGCCGGTTCCGCGAAACAGATGTCGAATGAGTTTTGTGCGAGAGCGACGTGGTAGTCGATACCCAGCGTGTCGATCGGTACCGATATGAAGAGTTGGATCGATTTAAAAAGTTTCACCGCCTGAGCCTGTTGATACTGCGAGGACATCGTCGTGAGAGGGGTGGAAAGGCTTTCACGGGTAAATAACAAAATCGGACTTTTCCACAGAACCGAATTCGCGCTATCCTGCGAGCTGTTTGTTTCCCGGGGTTCCGCAAGTTTGGCAACGATCTGTTCCGTTTCAGTGCCTGGGATGAATGAGAGTAAAGGGGATGAGGACTTGAATTTATCTGCAGAGAGTTGGAACTTGATATCGAATCGGCTCGGCTCTAATTACCGTTTATGTGTTCGCTCGAGCTAACGAGGGTCAGATGATACACCCACGTGTCGTATTCAGATTTGTCGAAGAACAACAGATGGCTAGGAGGAGATGATGCGCCAGCGGGAAAAATTCCTATCGTGTAGTATTCCTGGCGCACTCTCTTCCTTCCGCCTGCGTCGTCTTCCATGAACAGAACTGCACCACCCTCATCATCGCTGCGCCACCGAAAACAGATATCGCTTAGAATTCGAGAGCGACGATCATCAAACGGCAGGGAGGGAATATGCAAGGTACAGACCCTAGGAGCTCACCTGTCGCTGACATGTTCAAGCTCCTCCACTCGGCAATCCCTCATGTTGATTTGACCTAAAGGCATCGTGTCGTCGGGATTCCGGAAATAGATGAGGGTCCTTTGGAAGAGCACACACCAGCACTTCCGACAACGACCATGTTTCACCTGCAAGAGCGTGATCGTCCTGAACACCTTCCGAAAGCCTGATAATCCACCTGCCTCATATATTCATCTCGAAAAGTATGTAGCGTTTGGGGAAGGTACGGTATATACACAATATATACGCGGAGAGGTTATGTCGAGTACAACCGTTGGGAGGGGTGCGATTTGGCACAAACCTTGTAGCAGTATCCCTGGATGACGGGCTTTGTGCCTCCGCTGTGACCACTGAGAAGCTGAATCAGGGCGTTACGGCAAACCGCATTCTGTATAGCTCTGATCCACTCTTCCATCAGAGTCATTGAGTCGGCCATGAGCACAAAGGTTCGACGTGCTGTGATGACTTCAAACGTGGGTACACCTGGAGCGATTTTTATGAATGGAGCAAATCGAAAGGGATCGAATCGAAGTACTTTAGCGGTGCATGGACCCATAGCGGGGAAGCCTCGGGCTCGTATGATCGGTCAATCGATCGATCGGGAGCTCACCTTCATTCATTTTCTGCAGTCTAGCGGCCTCATCTAGGACCACCTCACCCTTGACTTTCCTTCTGAGGACATCTCGTTCGTGCCTGTAATAATGTAGCCTCCCATCTCGGAGTACAAACCAGCGTTTCTTCCAGGTCTTCAGCGGACCACCCAGCTTGTTCAGGTACCCAGCCTGTGGAATCACGAAATTTCAGACACGGTCATGTATGAGGGACCGCGCCCTCTACGGAGGATTCATCGACGGGTCGAATCAACAAACTCCCGAATACCTTTTCGGTTTCGATTTGAACGGTCGGAGTTTCTTGTTTCCTAGGGCTGTGGCGTAACGTATACGCTTCCAGCTGATCCAGAAGCATTTGAGCGGGTCCTTTCCTCTGGTGCGCTCGCTTTCGATGGGACTGTTTCTGACCTCGGGACGGCGACTGCGCTGTCGATCCTTCGCGATCCCGTGGAGGGAGGTCCGTGTTTGGTTCCAGAGAATCCATGCTCACAGACGGAGACATCGCGTCCGGAGGAATGGCGTAGTCCTCAGAAAGAACAGATTCGAGAGATTCGTCTGAAATAGGCGGAATTTCCCTCCTGTCAACTTTCAGTCGAATCTGCGACCGCAAATGAGGGAAAACCGCGCGAGCTCTGAGATTGGGCGGGATGAGGATATTACGATCGAGGGAGCGCTCGGAACGAGACCCACCTCTCTTGAATTGTCCAGGGTTGGTGGACCTAGCAGAATGAGATCCATCGGCTTTTGGCGTTGCAGTCTCGCCGTCGCTCGATTCGTCACTGGATTCTCCCCCGGTGACACTAGTGACTTTGGCGGCTCTGCCGTGAACGGCTGTGAACATTGGAATGTCGAGACTCTTCGGCCCGGTAGCCGAAGATGCTAAAGAGTTACACGAGCCGTGCAGACCGGATGAAGCCACCTGGTAAATTCGTGATTCCTGTGGAGCGATGCGATCTTATTCACCGGAAAAAGTTCTTAGAAGTGAAACGAAAGGATCGAATTCGAAATCCAAAAGTACAGATCAGAGGTAACGGAACCATCGCAGAGATCCTTCTGAGGAACGAGGAGCTCAAACAGCAGAGGATAGACCGAGCGGGAGCAGCGAAAATAAACTTACTAGGCCAGGAATTCTCTGCAAAACGATTTATGACGAACTTAATGAAAAACGCGATTCCAAGCAGGCGATGACAATTATCTGCAAAACTCCGTCTCTGTTTCAACTCACCCAACTCGGACACCTGTGTAGAGGAGGTGTCGGAGCTCTGTGTCCGACCGAGGGTCTCCGCCGAGGCTCTCTTTCGCTGCCACCTCTTATTTCGCCCTCGATAAGACGACGGACATACGGACCCGTAGCCGACCGGTCCAATGATCCGGAATGTGGGGCTTTAGGCGTATATGGCGGAGGCACGACCGGTAGCGAGGGGATTATCAAGGGTGGCTGCTCGTACTTCTGATTATTTCTTATCGCGGCTTCGCTGGCAGCTAGTTGCGCTTCCAAACTCAGAAGAGATCCGTCTCTATCGTCCTGAGACATGTCCGATACCGAAGTACTGAGCACGGACGCGTCGGGTCCGCATGCCGTGTAGTTTTTACGGCCCATCTTCACCGCGGGTGGGGCTGGAGTTCTCGGCTGGGAGACCTTCACCGGGGACTCCATCGAATATAGAGGATTCATCGTCACCGAGTCGGCTCCTAGTTCCTGCGCTACCGCCTCTACTTGACGAGAGAGTCTGAAAGTTCCGGGAATTTATCATTTCCTGGGAGCTCCTTTTCCCCTGAGGAGCACCCTGACGGGCGTGTTGGCATAGGTTCATAGATCGAATGACAAACCTCTCGATTTCCTCGTCGTTGTCCACGCCGCCCGTGAAAGTTTCCTCGAGCTCCAGGTAGAGGTGCGAGCACCGCGCTGTCGAAGGTCGGGTATTCAATTTCGATAGTTGTACGAGTCGTGCCTTCAGCTGTTCCAATTGCAGATTACATTTTTCGTTCTGCTCCTGCAGATGGACGTTCTGTTCTTCCAGCTGTAAAGACGGCGGGAATCAGTTTCATAGGCCTGGGATTCCTCCGATCACCCGAGATCCTCATTCGACTCACCTCCGCCAGTTTTGTCGAGACCCAATCTTTAATACGAGCTGCCTTCTGCTCGATTTGTCGACTCTCAAGGGCTCGCAGCTGTTTCTGCTCTTCCACTTGTCGCTCGAGCGTCGAAATCATTGCGTCTCGCTCTGCCAGCTCCAACTGCATGTCGACTTGCTGATCCTTTTCGGGCTGCAGTTGGCGTTTTGCCGGTGTCGGTGGTGATAACGGAGTCGTTGGAGACTCCTGCTCCGCCATATCGTCCGTCCCTGCAATTGATTCTCAGCATGAGCATCGAGGAGATGAGGGTCAGACACCGGGACTGCAAAATTGAGTGCCTCCCGCTCAGGTGAGTAGAAAATCGCCGAGCCTGAAGCATCCGTCAAGGTGGAATTTGAACGGAAGGCGAAATAAATGACGCGCTACTATCCGGAGCTCCCTAAGCGGCGGGTGAGGGTCCGGGACTAGCATGATTCGATTCGAGACTCGAGTTAACGCGTGGAAGCTGACAGCGTTCCGGATGCTCCATCTGACCCGAGCTCGGAAGGTTTCTGCATCTTCCTCGCCGATTATTAGCGACGAATTTATGCCCTTGGTTCCATTCAATGAACTCACGATGGGTGTCAGAAGAAGACAACAGTATAATATAATCGGGATGAGGCGGCAACAAAAACGGAACAAAGCGGTTCAGCATTTCGGCGGTCGGAATCACGGATCATTCAGAAACGTCTCGTAGAGGCGCATTCGAATGAAAAATGTGAATCTTTTCACCGAGCAGAAACCTGTCAGTCTTGGAGGGTCGGTGGAAGGCGGGCTCGTTGGTCTTAAGGGAGCTCCCACGCCCTTCGGCCATGTGACGTTCGAATACGCTTACCAGCGAATTCCCGCATTGGCGGAATGGATTTTGACCGTGGAAAAGAGCGAAGACGACCGCCTTTGTTGGCGGTCCAAAAATTTCGCCAAGTACTTCGCATCCGTAAAAACGATAACTATACGGCGTTATATACTGATTGAAGGAATTCTATTCGACGGAGACGGAGCTCCCTGCCCAGTTTGTGACACGACCAGATATTTGTATGTGGGGTGACCTACAATGTCATTCTTCGAAACACTTCTGTCACCCACGGAGAGGCCATCATCATTGATAAGTTGCGCCTCGAATCCTTCATCATCGAAATGACCTTGCCGTCGAATACCTCGGCACAGGCCATCATGATGCTTGAACCGAGCCCCTGACTGATGTCGGAAAGAAACTCGCAGTATCGCATTCATAGTTGGATCGCGAGAGTCCAAGAAACCGCGGGAAGGAACAGCACTTGCCAACGACATGTCTCATATCAGCGATCACCGGAGCTCAGGGAATCTTTGGCGCTCATTCTCTCTAATCCACTCTCTCATCATCACACCGATTTCTCTCTAGGCTTTGCAATGTTTCGAAATTGGCACTCCTTGGAGCGAATCCCGGGTGAAGTGTCGTCGCGGATCGTAATCTCTCTAGCCGCGAGGAAAGAGCGAGACCAGCCATTGTGAAGCTCTCCATTTCTTCGGTGACAGCGAATTTAGCGACGGCCACAGAGCTCGAGCAAGTGTCACATGCTGTTGTGCTCCCTGACTCGCGTGGAACAACTCGATTGCATGCTATCAGCAATCAACATCAGAGCGGCTAGATATTTGCCCGCATGAAGCCATGAAAATGGAAAGTCGCTTTCACGTATTTGGTAATGCTCCCGCCGGCATTGTCATCTGTGCCGTTCGAAAATTGGAGGGCACTGAACGACTACTCGTACGCAGAAGCCGGTTCTCCCGGCTCCGTGAACGAGTCGCGAATGATACAATCTCGGCTCGATCGTCACACGAGTTACCATCTTTCAGAGCGAGGGAGCTGAACTCTCAGTCAGAGCTTTCCCTTGTCGGTTGCCTCCCGAAGCTCCTGAGAGCCACTCCACCCGATCTTCGTTCAGCTATTTATGGCTTCATGGTGCGGTTCGCGATGTTACACAAGTCACAGTTCAGGAAACGCCATGGGATCCGGTAGGACGTCGAATCCGCCCGAACTCTCGAAGGAGAACACTCACTCTGACAGCTCTGCTGAGGTCGATGTTCGAGTGACAGCTAGCCCAGCAGTTTGCGGTGGAATTGCACGACGTCAGCCAGCGCTGCAGAGGGGACGGGCAGATGCCCCACTGTCCTGCTCCTGAACGAAGTCACGCGGATCGAACCGCGATCGCATAGACGGCGTTCCAGGCCGTTTTCGTTGCACAGCGACGACCGAGCGTATGACTGCCGCGGCGGCGACGGCACATATGCTACTTGTTTTTCTATCTGCGGCGGCTGGTGCTGTCGGCCGAATGGTAGGATTTCGCGACGATTGGTGGGGGAGTTAGCAGACGAATTCGACAGCGGCGAGGGACAGAGTCGCTTTGGCTGCCGGAAGCGGCGCGAAATCTCAAATACCGATGGCAGGCTATCACCTTTGAAAGGCCCGACAAAACATCATAAGTGTTGGATCCTGCCGGCTGCGCCACTGTTGGGTTCTGTGGAAGTTGGGAGCGAGAGCTCTTGAGAGACAACGACACCGATGGGTAGCTAGGAAGCGAATGAATGACGCGGCCAAAGATGGCCTTTTATTGTACAATCTCAAGAACGACGAAGCCGGGACCCAACATCGAAGTTTTCGTCATGAAGTGCTCGCGCTGCTTGCAAACTCTGTCAGCTCCGCTGAAGGCTCCATTGAGTCCTTGGCCTAGTACGACTAAACCTTGGTCAAGACTTCATATCGATTTTGGCGAACCTCATAAAGGGAAATCCTTTGTGGTCATCGGTCATCGGTGATAGCTTCTCGAAGTTGTTGGATGCTCAGTGGTTGGCTTCCACTACTTCCGCTGCTGTAATCGGATATCTCCGCCGTTTATTCCGTTTGCTGGGACCACCAGACACGCTGGTGAGCGACAATGGGCCCCAATTTACGTCTGCCGAGTATGCAAAATTCTGTGCCGAATTCGGCATAGTGCATTTGGGTCCCGGCTTCGTCGTTCTTGAGGTTGTACAATAAAAGGCGGCCGTCTTTGGCCGCGTCATTCATTCGCTTCCTAGTTACCCATCGGTGTGGTTGTCTCTCAACAGCTCTCGCTTCAACTCCCACAGAACCCAACAATAAGTGTTTTTCGGACAACCTTCACCTTTTACTCAAGCATTCGATGTTGGCTTCTCCCCCGAGTCTCCGAACAGTACCACGTCCGAGACATCCGATTGACTTCTATGCCTGGTCTTCAGTACCCCAGCGGGAATGAGGCATTTCAAGCGCATAAGACTCCGGGAATGTTCACGGGAACTTTCGCTGAATTCTGGTCAATCACATATGTCGTAAAAGAGGTGAAAAGAGATCGAGCTTCGGGACGTGACGTAGTCAGAGATGATTCTCCGAGACGGAATCGCCCTCCTCTTGCGATGCATCGAAACTTCCAGCCCCGGAAGCTTGAGCCGGCGATTAGAAGAATATTCTTTCGGCCTACCGTTCGGCCTTCACATCGTGGCTCGAATTTGAGAAGTCCCCCACGTGTGATGCTGCAGGATTCTTAAGGATTCGGCTGACTCTCATCCCAGAGAGAAAGAGAGCGAGGCTTCGACATCTCCTCAACCGCTCCCTTCGAGGAGGGCTCTGAATCAGAAATATCCGCAAGGCCGCGCACGAACTATGGACCATCCGGCTCGAGGTGGCACGCCATGGGCGGGCTCTTTCGGCGCAGACAGTACATTGTGAGTGCGGTCGTTTCCGACGGTCGACCTCCCTCTGGCGACGAATAGCTGATCATCGGAGATTGTTTCTCGAATCATCCTGCGTCCGCACTTCTCATTTTCCAACGAGTCCTCTTGGAAGGAGACATCTCCCCGGCCTCTCAATGATCGGTCGGGCTCTTTGTCCACATGCTCTTCGGAGGCGGCTGCGATCGGACGAGGTCGAAGATAAACAGGTCGGATCTTGTCATGCAGGCAGAACTTCATGAGCCGTCGAAATTGCTACGAGAGCCCATTGGAACATGGCGATGAAGGATGGCGGAATGGGAGCGAGTTCCTTGTGGTCTCTGGACGAGAATACAAACGATTTTGATGGGATGCAGATGAGAGAGTTGTCGATGATCCCAAGCAGAAAATCAGAATAGGAGGAAGACGGTGCGGTGCTCTCGCACATCATCCGAGATGATTGATAAACGACTCGAACTTATATTAGTCTTATTTTATTGGGTCCAGATGTTCCTCTATGCACATATAGTTTATGCTCATAACCTCTCCGTCGCCATTCCCTCTTGCATGAAGATCTTGATCGTCTGATCGGCCTCGCATGTTACCAACCTGCTCCCGGAGGCATCGAAAGCCATTTGGAAAATGCCGGCCTCGCTCCCGATCGAGCCGGGTTGAACGGGCGTCGTTAGATTCTGGAAGTTGTCTCCCGACTTCCAGTCCCAGAAGTGCATCGAGCCGTCGTCGCCACCGGAGACAAGAACGTTGCTATGGTTCACAGCGAGACAGTTAACGACCGTATTGTGTTCCGCGAGGTTCTTGATGAGTTGGCCATCGGGACACGTCCACTGCCAGATGTGGTTTGAAGCCGCTGAGGCGAACATGTCGAGGGTCGGATGCATTGCGAGATCTCTCACTGATACATTGTCATGGCTCAGTGTCTCTCGAGGTTTCCCCGCAACGATGTCCCAGAGACGGACCGTGGAGTCGTGGCTGCCGCTTATGATTTGAGGTTCGGTCGCTCGAACCAGGACCCTGACCACGGTATCTGTGTGACTCGCGAGCGTAAGGATGGAGGATTTCATTCGCATGTCCCACACGCGAGCTGTCCAGTCCCGACCGCCAGTGACGATAACGTTATCGATTTTAGGATGCAAACTCAGGGTGTGGACCCCAGAGAGATGACCGTGGTAGTCTCGGATCACTTGGTTCTGCTCGAGATCCCAGCATTTCACTTGCGTATCTTCACCGCAGCTGAACAGGTATGGATGATACTGACTCACTGCGAGACCGCGAACCCCCGCGATGTGTCCGCTCAGCGTGAGCTTCAGTGTGCCTGAGGCCAGGTCCCAAATTTTAATCATCCGGTCGCTCGAGCCAGTGCAGAACCATTCGTTAGCGGGATCGAACGCAACGCAACGGACCCAGTCCTCGTGACCAGCGATTACACGGCAAAGTTCCCACTTGGGATGCCATTGGGCCGAAGGCTGCGCCGGATCCAGGAATGGAGCGTGAATCTGAGCTTGGTTTCTGTTCGGAGCCAACACTGGCATTTGAGCGTAATTATTCACGCCCAACACGTCATAACCCGGGACTGGCACGCCGAACTGACTTCGATCCACGGGAAACATCACTCTTCCGTGTTCATCCCGGGCTTCGAGATCCATCCGCAGCTTGGGAGCTCTCTCGTCGATGGGTTGCTGAAGTGCCTCTTCGTCATCATAACTGCGTTTCACTGACCGAAGAACCATTGTTTCGACCGGGTCGAATTTCGAGAGCAGGATCCGGACCTGATTGACCTAGAGTTCGGTCTAGTCCTGCGACGAGTCAAAAATCGAACGTTGTCACTGGCCCTAGGGTTGAAGGCTCGCGCACAGAAAATGCTCCTCAGAGAATACGTCAGGTGATATGACTGGATTCCTCTCCAGCCATGCAACGAGCGAACACCCGAAGTTGGTCACTAGCTCAAGCACAAGCCACACTCCTCGTCTTCAGAGAGCATATGATGGAAGAAACGGGCGCGGACCACTGGGACGATTCAGAACTCTTCTGTGATTATCAAAACTCATTTCGGTTCTTTTAGAGAAGTCTGATTCGGTGAAAGGTGTTAAGTGGGAGAGGAGCTTCCGAAATGGGTTCTGCATAGACTAATGAGCGAGCGACCCCCTGTCTGAGTGAAAGCAACCGAGATCAAGGTTCGTTGGGTGAGCTTGGGCTGTCCATGACTCATTCATGAGAAATGAATGACTGTTTTGAGTCAATCCCGATTGATGGGCTTGCAATGTTGCAACCGAGTGGCCTAGATCACTCTACTACCAGATATGATCTCTGTAGTCAGGGGCGCGCACAGTATTTTTCTTTGGGGGGGCAACTAGAGTTCTGGAGGGGGCCAGACGAGAGCCCGTTCGGGGTTGTCTCCCTTAGGGGTGAACTCAGATGTCTCTATCTAGAACCCGACTTTCCGCATGAGGGAGTAAACGGGCTTCCCTAACATGAAGGTGTCTCCTGTCGTCATCGGACTCGTGAAGAGAGCCTTCGAACTGCTGTAGAATTCGCTGTTCCTTCCTCCATCCGCAATTGGCATTATCATCATCGTCGGAGATGGTTCAATGAGGACGGGGTCTGGTCATTCGCGGCGGTGGGCGATTGAAGAACGAAAGGTCTATACGGTAGCGCCTCATCGAGCCAGGGTATAATAGGTGACTCGATCCGGTGATCAGAAACTTCGACTCTGGAACAGGGCATCACGCAAACGATATCGACGTAATCGCGGCCTGAGACTGCGATCTTCCGTCGATTCGAGATTCGATGCTATCCCAAACCCCTGAAGTCGCTGGTGAATCCCTAGCTCCCTTCGAGGGAGTACATCGAAAGCGCTTCCGCTCCATTCGCAGATTCCCGCCCGACCCGGAAAGGCATTCGTCAGAATCGGCTCTGTATTGGGAAGAGCTCGGTCCTCTGCTCCATGGACGGATGGAGTCCGCTTCCAGATCGAGGGGCTCCACGGGGAGGATGCCTGACGATTCGCGCTTCCGCGGCTGGAAGCAGCACCGCGCAATAGGCAAAGGAATGATAGAACATCATCATTCATTCTTGTACGGCAAAATCAGATCCCCGGATGAGACTTCCGCACAGAGTTCTGAGGCAAACAACGGTTTCCATTGAGACCGTTGAGATTTCCTTCGCCTTCTCAAACTTCACTAATGCGAAGGGCCGGATACGAAGAACTTCGGATCGCCGGAAAAATTGGGTCTACTCCATCGGACCTCCCGAGTGAGGAACCTCCTCAGATATCAAACCTTCCGTATACGAACCCCCTCAGGTAGTGATCCTCCCCTGACAGGAGTGTTCTCTTATGGCGAACCTGTGATACACCTCAAGATTTCGGAGCTCGATGAGAAGAATAGCGCCCGTCAAGTCTGATCCCTCCGCCGGCGGGCATCGACGGAATACCGAACAGGCTTGTCAAGGAGAGCACGGAGACCCACTGCCCGCCTCTCGCCTCACCGAGAGCGAATATCCTCAGTAAGGCTGCGATCCCCCGATAGGTACTTGAGAACTCTTCACTTCGCCTAATTCACAAAGCTTGCGCAATAAAGTCAATTAGAAATGAAAAAAGTTCACAGCATGAACTTGCCTCGCATCGCGGAGCGAAGACGCCGGACCAGGAGGTTCTCTGGCTCTCTCGATCCCATGCTGAATACCGGAAGCTGGAGTACTTGATTCGCCCCAACTGTGATCAGCCACACCGTCTCGCTAATGAATAACAGAGTGAACAGTTCTGTGAGGTTTGGCCATTATTTCTGATCGAATTGAGAGAGTCCAACGAGGGGTGACCCGGCAGGAGTAGGGAGAAAACGAGTGAGTATGGGGTTGAGGACATCGGAGAGCGTCCCGAAGGCGCACTCGCTCGGCGACACAGCAGCGAGCGAGGTGGAAGTCTAAGAAATCCTGCCGCTGGAGGTTTATGCTACGTATACCAACAGCAGCCAAATATACTACATTGTGAACGTGTAGCCATCGGTCGTGCCGAAGAAAAGCAAGCTCTCCTTCTCTTCCCTCGGATTCCCAGCCTATCAGTCAGTCTTCGGGTCACCTCCGCGAGCTTGTACGCTTTGCCAGATCCCGACCGAATGGCTTTGTTCTCAGCATCGGACTCCGCGGACATGAGAATCGGGCGGTCGCGGGTTCAACCCTGGAGTCCAGCGTAGCGATTCATGGTGCCTTCATGGTGTCGTCGCTCGTTCGGAGCGAGCGCCGACCCTGCCCATGGAGTCCTTGGGGCTTGAGTCGTCGGCTTCCAAGCGAGATGGAGCCCGCGGTAATCCTGCGCAGGTCTCTTTCATTGTATTTTATTCCTCCCTCGACCTCGTATTCCAGGAGTATTCCCGTTGGAAAAGCGCCGACTTCTCGCCGATAGGCATGTTTCAATGATTTATTTCAAGCTCAACTCAGACCCGGCTACAAGTTTTTCCAGTTAGTGTAAGACCATAACATGGTGTCATCGTATCTTAGCGTATCAGCTGCATTTTTTTCTGTTTTCCTAGAAGTTCGCATGCCGGTTCGTTACTCTAGATCGACTTCCCTCACGGGTATGAACATCGTTCAATGATTCATCTATCACAAGTGTGCGTACCAGTCGAGTCGCTCCTAAGCGACTGGACTTGCTCCTTTCCATTCTCTCCTTTTGGGATAGGCGGGGAAAGCGCGACCAAAATTGTATATTAATCTTCTCTGTACATCGTCTGCCGACGCGACGTGTCTTGCGCCAATGATTTCCAACGAACTTCCCCCAACAACCTCGTCGTCAACGTGGTCGACGTCGGCGGCGGTGGCAGGAAGAACGTTCTCAAGAATCTGCTTTTTCCGTCGTCGAGACGTAAGATCCGTTATTTTCCAGAGAACAAAAGTCATTCGATTCCGTCCTACCATAGCGACGGCGTCAACTCAAGACCTAGTCTCAAACTTCCTAAAGCTTTGTGACGCTGTCTCTACTTCCGGAACCAACAGCGAACGAAGAGACGACCGAGCTCCCACGCAGTGCTCCTTGGGCTTCGATACGTCGACGTTTGTACGCCGCGGGGCAGCTCTCGAACTCGATGGGATCTGCTCCTCCTCGAAGCGGTGGAGGAGCTCCGGGTCAGGCCGGTCGTCCGCGAACACGTTTCGACCGATTCCGAGGTCTGTTATCGGAGGCTCTCATGTATGCGAGATCGACGCATTCTCAATGCGAACCTTCTCCTCTCGCGGGGAAGAGAAAAGTTTTTCCTCTGTCCGCCATCTCATGCAATCAGATGTCTCCGGATGGAAGCAGCACGGAGTATTGGCAACGTGATGTCTTCCTCCGAGTCCGTCTTATAAGCTGTCCTTGTGCCACGCCCATCTCTTGTGGGTGCAATGGTCGAATGAATGGGTCACCCACTGATGTTGCAGCAGGGCGTACCGATCTTCACTCAAATACAGAGGTTTGCCTGGAAGCATCGGGGGAGATTAGCGGCAAGCATCTCGAGTGTCTCGAGCGATTCTTCTGCGGGCACCAAGTCAAGCGAGCGATATGAATAAAAGCAAACATCAGCCTACCGCGTTTGAGGTCACGATCCTCTTCGCCGAACGAGTCGAGGTACACGCTGCCCCAGAGACAAGCTCGCTTCCCTCGGATGACAATGATCGAAGTAGAATTGACTTGGAGGAACACAGCGGTTCCCGCTCCGCAATCGATTGAGTGTTGCACCGCTTCGAAATAAGCCGTATCCTGACGACGACAGCAGACCTCTCTGATCGGAAGAAAGAAGGAACAAATTAGTTCCGGACATCTAGTTGATCGAAATTTACACGTGATCCTCCGCCACGTAATTCGTCCATGAATCGAGTTTTCCGCATACCTCAGGCAGACAAGAGTACCACAAGCGAGGCACAACGAAGGATCCTGAGGGCAGCTTTGGCACACGGTGCACGATTTCCGATGGTAGTATTCGAAAAGCACGGAATAGTTCTTTGGTAATCCGAGGAGATATGGCTGCCGCCAGCTGAGCGGTTGATCCACGAGCAGCGATCGCGCGGCAGCTCTGTCAGCTTCGACGAAACAACCGAGCTCCTTGCACCATTGGCCGACAAGGCCGATTCCGTCAGTCGCCCATTGGACGATGGATAGAGCCTGTGAAAGTATGCGGGTTTGACCAAATGATTTGATTGGAGTCATGAGCACGGTCGCGTAATTTTCTCCTTTTGATTTTCCCCACGGGACTCACGTTCGGAGGCGTTGAAGGTTGAGCTGAACCGGTCTGTTCCTCGCCCAACCCGAGGAACGAGCTCAGTGCTCTGAATTCGCTGCCTTCCCTCTTCGGCAATTGCTCATTGAAGAGATGCATTTGGAGCAGAGCGCATATCCTCAAGAAAGGTATGACGCTCCGTTCGATGTAGCTGGAGAGAGACAGTTCCGTCGTTAAAACCCAAGGTTCTAATTCACATATTCAGCTGTTCCCCGGAACCCTATTGATCCTGATACGCTGATACGAAGCTCCTAAGATGGTTCTCGCTCCCGTCGCGGGCTTTTTGGCAGGTCCTGATAAATTACCTCTCAAATTGTTGACCGCGCAAGCCGGGCTCTTCGGTCTCGTCGCAGTTGAGAAATCCCATTCTCCTCAAATGCAACAAGATGACTGAGATGCACGGGTAGAAACCAGCCGTAGGGTTCCGGTCCAGTTTCTCCTGCAGCTCATGCGTCTCGGCTCTGGTCATTCGACAGAGGGTTCGGGAAACGCTCTGGGCCACGGCTAGGGAATAGAGCACTCGGACGACGCAGGTGAAATAAACCTTGAAAAGATGGAGAAACTGAGACTTCACGAAAATTTCAGGCCCCATCGTTCTTCGACGACTCGTAGTCGAGCTCCGATGACTCCGCTATTCTCCTAACCTTGTCGAGATTGAGAGGGAGGCTCAATAGGAACTCGATGAGCATCGAACTGATGTCTCGGATGAGGAACGGTACGTGCTTCTGCATAGGAGCCAGCGAGGTGGTATTTTCGACGGGCAGGCCCGTCAGAGAATGCCAAACGTGGAAGAGGGGCGACTCCGCGAGGGCCTGCAAAGAAAATTTCTCTGTCAGGGCGATGAACGGCACCACGCTCTTCCGTCCGCCAGTAGTGGGAGTCAGTGATTTGTGATCAATGGAGGTAAACCAGGAACAAATTCACGCATCAAAACGCAAAATCGAAGAAAACGTGCGATAGCTAAAGTTTCGAGCGTCACCATGAACACTCCGCTATGATAACCTTCGGGGTGCGCCGTCAGATTCGTTTCCGGGCTCTTCACATGCTGTCCAGGGGAGACCCATGCGCACGTCGTCTGGTTTTAAACATTAGAGACAATTCACTACCTCTTTCGCTTGTTCATGTTGCAGGAATACCTTAAGATGAAGCGCCAACACGTGGAAAAGAGGCACGAAGCAACTTTTCCGCGGTCCAATCGACGAACTACTGGCCGCCTGGTCGGGAGTGCTCGGTGGTAGCTGTCCATCGTGAAGCAGAAGATCGATCTCGAGATTAGTTCGCGCTAACGAGCACACGAACAGACTCAGAGGATGTGACGTTCTCAGATAGACGAATGTGCGATATTGGACGTAGGTGGCGTTCGTGAGGTCTTCCATGAAGGCGGACATCTCCTTCAGGATACTCGTGGACGGCGTTGGCAGGCCAGCCATGAGGTCCGACATCTCTGTCGCGACGTTGATATGTGTTCGCGGACTGCATTGAACGACCGCTTGGTGCTCCCCCGTAGATGGATGAATGGGCAGAACGGAATTGGCAAGCTGACGACACAAGGGGCAGAGGTATTCTCCTCTCTCTGGAGCCAGCGTCTGCATCATTCGGTGGAAATCTTGATGATGTTGACTCCGTTGCGATAGCATATAGGATTTGTGACAATCGACGTGCAAGTAATGCCCACAGGTTTGTACATGTACGCCGCCTTCCCAACCTGGGGGATCGAAAAAGCTCTCTCAGGTCGGCTGCTTCAGTCAGACCGTAGATTTCTCCGATTGATTGAGATCGATCGCCTATTCGAGCTCGACTGCATTCGAGTGTCTTACCGATGTTGGCCGATCGGTACCAGCTGGACGAATCGAAATGTCGGGTGAGCTCCTCGAATTTTTGTTTCGAGTAGCTCGCTCGACTTGTTGACGAAGGTAGACTCTCCAGATCACTGCACGGTAGATTACAGGGACCTTCCCCTTGCGGTCGGGCGTGTCCGAGTACTGGGAAAAATCAATTCTCTAACATGCGTCGGTGCGCGTGGTTCTTCGATAAGCAGAAAAATCACGGAGGTCATTCTCTCCGAGGAGGTTCAGACTCACCGCTGGTTGCTTGGAGTAGCACCACCATGGCTACGGGTCTCTCAGCAGTCGTTGGCGAGGTTTGACTACATATTACACACTCGTACTCTTTGAGGCAGACTTCCTTCTCTTCCTCCTTCGACTCCGGCTGCAAAAATTAATGGGGAATAGAATGAGCGCGGGATCGAGCATAGAGCGAGCATTAGACAGCAGATCATCATCGGGATGGATCGATGTGCTTCCGTAGCGATAAAGGTCCACGGAGGGACTCACCATTTCGTCGTCGATGACTTCGTTGCATTGTTTCAAAAAGGATTTTTGGCGGTTCGCGAACTCCTGCATGAGCTTCTGTTGACGTTCTCGTGCCTTCTTCCGTCTTTCTTCTTTCAATTGAGCGTCGGTCTTCGAAGGCGCTTGTACGCCTTCCTGGACTTCCGAAGGCCAGATAGAGTCCCGTATTTGGCGTATTCTCGCTTCGACAGACGAGTGCGAAAGGCAATACCGATCCAACAAAATTCCTGGAACGAAAACGAATTATTGCCGGCTTGTTGAACGCTTTCAGATACTCCTGATGAGCGCGGCGACGGATACTCGAATTTGAGGGAAGTTAACGGGAGGAACAGCCCTGGATCAGGGCATGTACGTACCGACGAAATGTACGCCGTCTCCGATACGGCTGGTGGGCACGGACACTTGACCCTCTTCCTGGGGAGTTCTATAAATCCGTCGACGCGGCGATGAGGTCTGACCGCCGCTTCGGGACGAAGACGACGCCAGTTTGGCATAGAGTTTAAGCAGAAGCGAGACGATACTCTCATTCACTCCAACTAGATATCGTAATGGCATAGGAGCAGGCAAGGAGGCCATTGTGGCGTCTTCAGAGAAATCAATCAAATCCGCGTCACTATCATCCGTTTCCATGGCACAGCTGACAGCCTGTGAAGCGAAGACAAATCAGGAGATCAGTCGATCAGGTAGGGAAATGGGAATTTTCCCGGTTCCTGTTACTTTCTCGGTCTGGGAGAGAAGTTTGACTCACCCGTCCCGAATGGGTTGGCATGAGCTCGACAGAGTGCCGCAACAAGAGAGCGTATTGCGAATCGTCGTTAGAGGAGGTTCCAGCCGAAGCTTCGGATCTGAGATCCACGAGTAAGCCTACTTTCGCATCAGAGTCTTCATGTTGAACGTGCGTGATTGCAGCAGTTTGATCGTCTGCATTTTCGAGGTCGAGATCCATAGACGTCACTCTGGTGAAGGCAGAAGGTGAGCATCGCTTCGAAAAGGGAGGAAGGGGTGGGGGAGGATACGGAACTCGTCGAGAGGTTAGGGAGAGAGAAAGACAAAAAAAATCGAGCTCACTTGAGGGCAGTTGACGCGCTTTCTGTAGCATCCTCATTCGTTTCCACGATTTCCACGTTCTTGATTAGCGTCAAACTTGAGATTATCGGGCACGAACTGGGGTACCAGTTCTTGAAGTGCTCCACTCCGTCGCCGATTTCAGAAATCACCAAAACCTCATCGGGCGCAACGAGTGGACCTTGGCGGTCTCGGCAAGCACGACAAGTGTCTTTCGAATGAAACTCGACAGCCAATTCGAGTAGATACACCGCTAACGATAGAATCTGCTCGTCGATTTCTTCGTTGCGCCCACTGACGGCTTTGTGGAGGATAACGAACGCTAAAGCTTGAAGACTCGAGCAGAATAGCAGCTTACGGGGGTCTTGAAGCCTGAAACGAACGGAATCAGAAACATCCGAAGTAGAACGTTCGATTTCGAAATATCGCATCGGCTCCCGAACTCGGAAGGATTCATCGAATCACTCACCCTTCATGGACCCCTGGTGGGATTCTGTACGGCGGCCAGCAATTCTTGATGCCGGTGTGGGCGGCGAATCGGTTCAGTGCGGCTTGATAATCTTTCCGGTGCACTGATCTCAACAATGTATGAATCGGATCGAAACTATTCTCCCACACGCTCGCCTTCGGGGTGTATGTGCCTTGGATCATATGGCCGCCCATTTCGAAATTGGGGGCCTTGTAATCGGCCACCGCGTTCATGTGTCGATCACAGTGAGGTACACTCGCGCCGTATTGGCCGCATTTTTCGGGCAGCAAGTCGATTATTTGAGAGTGGGTGCGGTCAGACATGCACAGCAACGAGACCATTTCTTCGCGCGTGCATTCCTCCTCGTTTGCGTTCATCATCGTGCGAACACTGGTGAGGGTGGCCAAAAACGTGAGAAGCGAATTGAGCATTGCGTCCATTTTTTCGTCTAGATCGGATTCGTCGTCGGCAGTCATACTCTGAAGCGTGAGTAGGGGACCGACTCGGAATCTCTCTATCACTGTCGAGATGAACCAGTTGTTATCCAACTGCGACCCGCACACTTGCAGGAGGAAAATGTCGGGGTCGACCATCGAGTTGCAGAAGTGGCTCTGAATGTAGGTCATCGCTTGTCCTTTCATGTGGAGACCGTTGCGTACCCACATGTTGGCAGCGATAATCTCGTAGAAAGAAATTATCGTTTGCAGTGGATGGGCGATAAGACACTTCATGAACGACGTATTGCTTATTTCGGCGACCTTGAAGATCTCTTCCACGCCACCGCATTCTTGGAACAGGACGCAGTTCCTGATGAAGGTGGCCAGATACCGATGTAGAGGAAGATGAAAGCTCGCCTGGTCGATCGTGGGTTTGTCCGTGGCGCGGAAATTTATCGCATCGAAGAAATCCTCGAGAGCCAGGACGCATTGCGTGAGGACTAGAACGCTCAGCTTTAGAGTCTCCTTATCGGTGAGGTGGATCAGAAACGCCCACATCGGAGTCGCGCTGGCTTCGAGCTCTGCCGAAAACGCCGCACAATACGTACTGGGTTCGAACTCTATGTGTCTCTCGGTTTCACGGTGGTGCACGTTCATTCCCTGGTACATGGATAACAAATTGAACCAGACATCTAGGAGACGGGTGTCGCTGAGGAATTCCATGACGACACGTTTGTGCGTGAGGATGTTGTTCAGATCTGATACCAGAGGCCAGTAACAGTGTTGTTTGGTGATTTTGTGCGCGCAGTTGATCACATAATGAAGGTTTTTCTCGGCGAATTGTAAAGTCGACTGCTGTAGCGTCCGCTTCATCATGGCCTTCATCGAGATCACCATCACTTGCAATAGCTGAGCCTCGTGCACCATCTGTAGCGAGAGTGCCTCGTTCGAGAACAGTTGCACGGACACCTGCACGACACGATTCGATAGAGTTTCACTGTCTCGGCACTGTGTCAGCATCAGGGAAATCCTAGTGTAGTGCATGACGAAGGTTCTTGTGAACTGGACCTTGTAGTCCTGCTCAGGGAGCATACTGAGGAGAAGACACGTCAGCTTCTGGGGACACTCGTACCTGTGACAAGAGTAGACAGATCAGAGTCGATCTTCGCAAATGCGTCAACGAATCGATGATCATGATAATAATTATTCGATGTGATGGTCGTCGAGAGAGAATCGTAGGACTGGCAGGTCGGAATCGGACGATTGATCGGGGGGTGCCCCTCCATTCAGAAAACAAGGCATACTCACTTGACCATCCAGAAAACGAGCTCCTCCAGGAACGTCTCATGGACGAGCTCTGGTCGCAAGGCTTTCACGTCGTTGAAATCGATGGGACATTCCCAGTTCTTCAGTCGCTGCTTGGCCTGCTCGTAGTTCTCGTCCCGTTCCTTTGTAAGTTGTTGATACATGGACGGGTTCGTGAGGGACTGAGTTATCACGACCCGCATCGGATCTCCCATTGCTGCGAGCTTTTCAACGAAATCTGCCGGGGATTATGAATCAGAAAATCGCACGGATCGACTCATACATATATGGGGAGGAGAGACTTTCGTCGATGAGTGTTCTGCCGCTCAATGTCCTCTACTCACCGATGAAAGAATCCGCGCGAATCAACGCCATCGGTTGCTCGGCAGGCGCGATCGCGGACGTTTCGCGGAGATGCTGCAAGAGTCTGAGGATCACCCTGGGCATCATGAGCTGCGCGATCGTAAGGAGGTCCGGGGGAGGAATCCGATCCGCAGCATCGCTCTCTTCGTTGAGTCGTCCGTGTCTCGTACAGAAGCCCGAATCTTTCATGACGTTCGTATCGCCGCAATCGCAGGCTCCTCCCGCCTGCGACCGGAACATGTTGAAGTCGTGGCCTTCGTGATTACCGAGTCGAAAGCACTGGGCGCATAGCGACATGCAGGGGGATATTCCGCAGGTTCGACACCGGTATGCAACAAAGTTGGACGTCCACACAAGACCACACATTGTGGCATTAGTGTAACGTCTCACTGGAAAATCAAGAATTGATTTGATTTCGATCCCAGTCTTTACAGCGATTTCTTTCCAAGTATCCGTGTCCGAGGGCCCGAAGGTTGACGGGGGATCTCACCTGTGTTCGCGAAATCGGCTGGGTTCTTCCCCCCGCCATCAGCCAGTTGCACCAGTCCTGAGTGTCCCACATGTCGACTGGTTTGGCTGGGTCGAGGATGAAATTCAGGAGTTCATTGAGTAATTGTGCTGGATGGCTGTGTGCCTGTGGAGGAGTTCGATAGATGTTATTTAGGTGAATTGGAAGCTTCCTCGTCTGAGAGGGTGTTCTATTCTGAATGGAGCGCTGATTGTGCACACGTGCTGACGCTGGGAGAGTTCTTTACCACATTAATTCAAGTCATCCATTCCTCTCTGGCAGAAATATATATAGCCATGGTAAAGCCGCAAATTGAATCATGGCATTCTTCGGAACTTCCTCGGCAATCCCGAGGATCATCCCTAATACTCTAGGAAAGGAATTTTGATGCTGACGTGCCTCGCGGGATGTGATCATCACAGTCTCGAACTGCATTCCTCTCCGGAGCGCATCATGTTTCTCATAATATTGACCCGCGAGCGCCGTTTCCTGTACGAAGGATTCGCCTTCGGAAATACGGCCGGCTTCCCCGGAATCAAGTGGAGACTGGCTTGAAATCGAGTGATAAGACCTCGGTTCCGTCTTCGTGGGAAGAGTAGAAGATCTTCTCGATCCTTGAGTAGGCCCCGAAACTGATTCTGTATGCCAGGAGCTGTCACCCATTCGGGATACCCGAATCCGTCAACGATCGCCCCTACCGCCGGAATTAGAAGCGGAAAGAGTCGCGTCATCGATTTCATCCCGAGACGACTCCTTCCAGAGGTTCCCGCGGTCAGAGGCGAATTCAGAACGCTTGTTTTTCTCGCTCATGACCACCGCGCCAGCTTCCCACTACGAGGGAAGTTTCCGTTCGTGGTGTTGGGAAGGCATCACTCGACGCGTTCCGCGGAGAGTGCGAGTTCGGGTAGGACTCCCGAAATTTCGGGGAAGACTGCTCCAACAGCGTAGGACGCGGGAGAATTCCCGCAAAACGATCGATGCTACGAAGTCGTGAAGACGCTCGGGGGAGGCTCAGATAGAATCAGAGATGAAAAGACACGGGAATCGCGTTCCTAGTGAAATTCACGCATCCAGATATCACGTGGAGCGAGCGGGAGCCTAGATCACTCGTCCCTCCGGATTCTGATGTAGCACCGAAGGTCAACACTGTCAGCGAGTAGTTCGAAATCATCTCACCGAGTCAGCTGCTCCGAAATCTGCACTCTGATCAGGGTGATTCCTGAACTGATCCCGACCTCTCGAAGCCACTCCTTGTATCAGGGGAGCGACTTTTCTCGAGAAGTAAGTTCTTTGAACAGAACAAGTCGAGCTTGAGGATCGTAAGTTGTTATCGAACATGAATTGCCCCCCGTCTTGGCTTTGCCCGGCTGAGAGAAAAATGATACTGACTCAGCCCCCGCGAGATCAAGACTGTCTCAATCCTCGATTATATTGAGCGTTCCTGCTCCTCCGGGAAGGATTATTTCACGATTGTCTCTTGCGAATTCGATCCAGAGGAAGGTGACAAGCGCCAGACCCCATGAGCTTCAGTCCTCCCCTAGAGTGCACCTTTGTCATACGTCATGAGTCATGAGGATCAACGATCAGAATAAGTTGGCCTCGCGGTGAAGTTTTGGGGACCGTCTAGTTTTATTCGTTCTTCTCATATTGTCCGAGCTACACGATAAGGATCGACAACAGAGCGGGCTTGTTGTTCGACAGCCATCACGAATTGACACCCACAACACAAATGGGATCTCTCCCATGACAACGACACAAATGGTGCAGCATTCACAACAAATCTTTCCGTGAACCGAAAAAATATCCGCGTTCCGCAGCTGCATCAGCTGCGAAGTCCTCAACAGTCGGAAGAGTTTCGTGGAGAAAAAATCTGAATCCGACAACACCGACCTCTTCTATGAGAGCTCCAACGCCCTGCGCAGGCTCATCCCAGAAATTCAGCGAACAGCTCCCAACAGTACGTCGGTCGATGGAGGTTCACCAGCTGTTCGCCCTGCCCTTCTGATCCTTCGCCAGAAACTCTTCCGACCCTCGGAGAACTGTGCAAACTCTTGGGAGGTCGAGCAAACCCCATGAATGATACATATGACTAACCTGCAAGTAGCTAGCAGCTCCTCTCTTGCCGCGGCGCAAAAGAACTTCAGCGGTTGTCTCCTGTTCTTCCATTGTATCGTCGACCACCGAAGACGCCTGATAATTGCGTAATAACACCCTGCTCGCGGGGCCCTGGGCCTCGGGTCGAGCTCGAGTCCGCTCGCGGTCCGCACAGGTTCAGTACAGATTAGTTGCTGTCAGAAACCCGAGAAAAGCACCGTGACGGCTCCACTCGTTCCTGATACCTGTCTCTGTGCTAACTCCACTACGGCAGCTCCGCTGTTAGGGCAGCTCCTGCTGCTGCTGCTGCTGGTACTGCTACTCACCGTCTCACGAATGTTCCACAAAAACATCACGAACCCACCAGAACATACGAATTTCGTCTGCTAATCCCTGTGTTTATGGGCTACCTCTCACTACTCGTACTGCGCGCTCCCTCTCCCGTTCGTCTCACGGATCAGCTGTGCTCGCGCTGGAGAGAGGGTTGCGGCTCGATCGGACCCTTCAAATTGGAGACCCGCGTGGCGGACGGATAACAGCAGCTTTCCCCTTCGAACGCGCTCCGCCGGACCGTGACAACTCCATAAACGAATTTTAGGGTCACCGCATGAGTATTCGAGAAACTCCCCAGTCACGGAATACCTCTTCTGCCGGTGTCTCGCTCACGCTCTTCGACAGACTCTCGGAGTTCGAAGGCGACCCGATTCTGTCGCGGGAGCTCTCCGATGCAACAATTCATGTCAGATCCAGTGGCGTACCC